AACAGTTTTTTTTTAATTAAGCTTTTATTCTACTTATTGTAAAATTGATATGGTTTATTATTGTCATCAGATTCACCTTACAAAAATGCATGGTATAACATGAAGATCTACAATATAAAACACGATATATATTGTAGAGGTAATTTAAAGCTAATATATTCTATTATAACATGTTTAATACCTAATAAAAAGCTGTCCATATTTAATATGATTTTTTTCTTGCACTGGGTTGAACATTAACACAATATATTATTGTCCAGGAATCTTTGGTACAGAATTAACATGATAGAAGAGTACAAACGTTACTGCAATTATACCCTTACATATCATTATCCCTCAACTTGTGAACATAAAATGAATTTATATCACATGTCATATTTTTTTCTTCCACCTCAAAATAGCAGTCCAGTGATATGGGGAAAAACTCTATGTCATTTCAGGGTCTTTGACTTATTTTTCATAATAGGTGGACGACTTCACAGATAGAATTATTCAATTCAAATTATTCAACAAATGACATAAAATATTTACCTTATATCTGCTACAAGTTACTTTTAAGGGGTTCTTTCCTTTTCTGAAAATCTATGGCTCACTCAGTATGCCAAGCATATATGTATACAAACATATTTATTTCTAATCTTCTTTATTAGAATATGCTCATTCACAGCCTATAGAGAAGGAGGATATACTATACGTTACTACCGATCGTATTTTTTAAATGAAACTGCAGTGAAAAAGGAAACAAGAAGAGGATGTTTGTAAAATCCACGATGAAGCTTAGAGATACTGAAGACCAACTATCAACCAGTGAGAACACACTTATAATCCCTTGCTAAATGCTGCATACAATAAAGCTTCACTAATGTTAATCTCCACTGCAGATCTAAATGTGCGAACCAGCATCTAGACCAACATTTCAGAAGGGAATGTGGCAAATGGACTTTTGGTAGGACGTCGTGGGCACATGTAGCCCACCTGCAATACTACCACGAATACTCACACCTGGATTGCGCTAATCACTAGAAAAGCATCGTCTCCGTCCTCCTAAAAGACCAGTTCATCACAGCCCATCTCTTTGGGGGAGTTGGTAAGGAATGTCACTGTTGTAATGAGGTTACTAGGGTTTTTACTCGACTTCGGATACTTTCCTTCAGACTTTTCTCCAAAGAATACCAGTTTCTTGATGGAAGGAATTTTAAAGAAACTAGTTAAGAAAAAAAAAATTCTCACTGGATAATAACACTCATTAAATTGTGGACAGACCTAGTTTTGCCATTTCTTATGTCATATGATCACAGCTGCAAAGCATGGATTCAAATGCAGTATATAAAAAGCATTAATCAAGAACACCACCTCCCACTATTGGAAGACCATATCAGAAAATCTTACTCTCTCCTTTCTGCCTTTCCTAAACTCCTTAATGTAAAAAATGATAATAAATAAAAAAAATAATAATGGAAGTAAATATAACAAAAAATAAATAAATACAAATCTGCTACACCGCTGCCAATATAGGCGAGGCTTCTTTACAGCTTTGTCACGTCCACTTGGTGAGCCTCTTTCTCCTTGGCCAGCTTAGCCTCCTCGTTGACTTTCCTGTGCCACTCCAAGTTCATATTCAGGAGACTCTGGCCTTCCCGGTGGGCCTTCTTGCCCGACCAGATCATGTAGACGCAGCCGAGCAGGGTGGCGACGCCCATCCATATGTTGATCTTGATCCTTGCCTTGTTGCGGGCGCGTTCCAGGACATCTTGGCTGTTGTATAAGAAAGTGAGATTGTATTTTTGATAATTTCTGGAATGAAGGGAAGTATTATAATCAACTAGTAATATTACCTGCATTGTAAAGTCACGGTATAGTAGGGAAAACTCACCTCACTAATTCAGGAACATCAGCAACACTTTTGAACTTTCCCCCCCAAACCAGCAAGTATTTCTCCAGTCTATTCACGTGGTGGTCTCTCAGTCCTGAAAGGTTTAAAACCATTAATAATAACAACAGCTTTATTTCCTCTAAAACTGCATCATCATCATCATCAAGTCTCCGGTCCGGAGGTTGGTAACCAGTTGCCTCCAACCATCTCTGTCCTCAGCCTTTCTCTTTGCATCTCCAAGCACGTTGGTTTGACTCCATTCTGTGATGTCATTTCCCCAGGTTCTTCTTTACCTTCCTCTGTCACGCTTTCCTTCAACCATTCCTTCGAGGATATACTGGCTGAGCTGGCCTCCAGACCCTCTCATGATGTGTCCATTATTCCAAGTTTCTAGTTTAAAGCATTAGCATGATGGCGGTACGGCCTTGCCTGCTTTATCACAAGAACCCCATCGGGCATAATTATATTTAGGTTGCATTATCATGGTTGTACAAGAGGCTAGTAGGTGAAGCAGGCCCCCAGAACTACACCCGCAGAACAGCAGCCAAAGTCAGCATAACTGACCTGCCTACTGTTATCCTTGGAACTACCGTTGACCATCGAAATGGTTCTTCCGCCAGTTCTAGG